GCAATTACTTAACAATAATATTTTTGTAAATTAAACTATTTTGGTATTTAAATTTAATTAAGTTTACAACGCTAGTTACATAGTACATCGAACACCCCAACACCGTACGTACATATGTTATTTGGGCCTGTTTGAAACCCAAACCCGTTAAACACATGTTTATATAATCACATGATTTTAATTAGGTCATAGTGCTCAAATCGGGTTCGAAATCGATTTCTTAAGCAAAGTGTTTCATGATTTGTAATTTAAATTTTTTTAATTAAAAGTTAATTTCCATGACATAAATGATGTAAATGAGATTCGCATTATTTTTTAATGAAAAGTTATGCTTTTTTTTTAAAAAAAAAAAAAGTATCTTCTTGTAGAAGCATTTTCAATTACCATAAATACGTAACATTTTTTTTTATCTTCACACGTACCATTATTTTTCTTTTATCTTCACGCGTAACATGTAACATTTTTTTCTTTTATTTTCGATAAACGAAGAAAGCACACTCGACATCTATTTTAACATTATCGCAGCATACACAACAAACAGTCCCTCAAAATGATTCCTTCTGGGGTGAGCTTGTTGAAAGTGGCGGCAAGTAATATTGCAAACATTGCAATCAAGCCTCTTCAATGAATACAAATCATCTGGATAAGTGAATGAAGTAATAAGAAGTATTAGTAAGACGAATGTTGAGCCATATAAATCTGAAGAAAATGTTGGCGCAAGCCTTTGTTTGAAAACGTGGTATGAATTGGGTATATAAATATTGATATAAGCGAAATGTACATAAAAGTTATTATATACCATATAATAAATAAATATACAGCAGGTTTTAAACTAACATGTTTAAGCATACATAATTACATATAAATAGTTTGAAACACAATTTACGTATGTGTTTCCAAACAGTGTTCGAACGGGTTTCAAAGCACAGACTAGCAGATTTAAGCAGGATAACATCCCTAATTAATATTACCTCATTAATGAATCCTTGATTATGTTTATTTGAATTATGAATCAATTTAAGTACAATATCACTCCAATAATTTCTATTTTTATCTAGCCAACGTGCATAATACACGGTCGCAAATCCACCTTTTCCTATTTCTCGTATATTTTGAAATTCGTTATAAGGAATCCATGATAGTTGATACTTTTCATCATTTAATCTTTCTCATATGATAATTTT